GAGGTCAAGAGATCGAGACCATCCTGGTCAACATGGTGAAACCCTGTCTCTACCAAAAATACAAAAAATTAGCTGGGCATGGTGGTGTGTGCCTGTAATCCCAGCTACTCAGGAGGCTGAGGCAGGAGAATTGCCTGAACCCAGGAGGCGGAGGTTGCGGTGAGCCGAGATCGCGCCATTGCACTCCAGCCTGGGTAACAAGAGTGAAACTCTGTCTCAAAAAAAAAAAAAAAAAAAAAAAAATTCACCACAAACCAGGTGCAGTGGCTTGAACCTGTTATCCCAGCACATTAGGAAGCCACGGTGGGCGGATCACTTGAGGCCAGGAGTCCAGGAACAGCCTGGCCAACATGGCAAAACCCTGTCTCTACTAAAAATACAAAAATTAGTTGGGTGTGGTGGTGTGCACCTGTAGTCCCAGCTACTCTGGAGGTTGAGGAACAAGAAGTGCTTGAACCTGGGAGGTAGAGGTTGCAGTAAGCCAACATCGCATCACCGCACTCCAGACTGGGCGACAGAGCAAGACTTTGTCTCAAAAAAAAAAAAAAAACAAACAAAATGATTTGCAGTATTTTCAAGAGGTAAAGGGGAAGTAGTACAATTCAACACTAATACTCCCTTTTTAAGAAAAAAATCCCCAGGAAAAAAAATCCTCATAGGCATATTTCCATTTTAAAATGAGGAAATGGGAACATGGAAAAGTTAACTAAATTGTATATTCATATTTCCTTTAAAAAAATCCCTACAGAAAAGCTTATTTCCATTTTAAAATCAGGAAATAGAAACACGGAAAAGTTAACTAAATAGTGCACTCACATTTCCTTTTTAAAAAAATCCCTACAGAAAAGCATACTGCCATTTTAAAATGAGGAAATGGGAATATGGAAAAGTTAACTAAATTGTTCAAGGTCACAGGGATCATCAACCTACGTGCAGTGTTTCTCAAAATGTATTATAGCAACTCCTAGGAGAGACACTGTTCCAAGACCTGCTTGATCCAGCCAAGAGCAAGAAATGCAAGGGCTGCAGCAGAGGCTGTGAACTGGGCCCAGGTAATACAGGAACTTGGCAATCGGCACATAATGACCTTTCAGTCGAACGACTGCATAAATGAAAGGTAGTCCATAAGATTATCAGAGAGCTGAAAAATTCCTATTGCCTAGTGATATCTTAACGATCCTCAACCTGTGTAGGCATAGAATAATATGTGTGTTTGTGTTTTAGTTTCTAACAAAAAAGTTTAAAAAGTTAAACAAAAATTTAAGTGGAAAAAAAACAAGGATATAAAGAAAAAAAATAAGTTGGGTGAGGTGTCTCATGCCTGTAATCCCAGCACTTTGGGAGGTCGAGGTGGGAGGACTGCTTGAGGCCAAAGCTGGAGACCCGCCTGGGCAACAAAGGGAGACCCTGTCTCAAAACAACAACAAATTAGCTGGGTGTAGTGATGCATGCCTATAGTCCTAGCTAGCGGGAGGCTGAGGTGGATGGATCCCTTGAGCCTTGGAGTTCAAGGCCATAGTGAGCTATGATGGAGCCACTGCACTCCACACTGGGTGACAAAGACCCTCTCTTTAAAAAAAATTATACAGCTGTACAATGCATGTATGTGTTTTGATTTGTTCTCAAATACTCTTACATGTACAATGTACAACAGGCTCCAAGACAACACTTCATTCTGACTACAGGTGGCAAAAGATGTTATAGCAGGGGGCCGTGTGCAGCAGCTCACACCTGTAGTCCCAGCACTTTGGGAGGCTGAGGCAGGCAGATCACTTGAGGTCGAGTTCAAGACCAGCCTGGCCAATGTGGTAAAACCCCATCTCTACTAAATACAAAAATTAGCCAGGTGTGGTGGTGGGCGCCCTCCCACCTACTCGGAAAGCTGAGGCAGGAGAATTGCTTGAATCCAGGAGGCAGAGGTTGCAGTAAGCAAGACTGTGCCACTGCACTCCAGCCTGAGTGACAGAGTGAGAGTCCATGTCAAAAAAAAAAAAAAGATGTTATAGCAGGTAATCCAGATGTTTAAATACAAATGGAATCAAGGGTCACCATCAATTGCCTCAGGCACATGGAATAGCTTGCTTTTTGCCAGATTTCTTAATTCTACTTATGGCCAGGGGGCCCTTCCCTGTGGCCTTTGCTTTTAGATCCTCCAGTTTCCTCTACTCCTCTTTTTGTTTAAAAAACTTAACTTCCACGTCCATCTCCTTGGCCTGCTTCTTGGGCTGTTTCAGGGGCTTCTTCGGGCCACCTATGAAGGTGGACATGGCACCTGCAGCCTCTTCCCCAGACTCTGCCACTGGACTTGTTTCATTTTTGAAGAGACAGGATCTTACTGTTGCCCAGGATGGGGTACAGTGGTATGATCATAGCTTACTGCAACCTGGAACTCTTGGTCTCAAACACTCCTCCTCCCTCAGCCTCCCCAGTAGCTAGGACCACAGGCATGCACCAGCATGTCCAACTAATTTAAAAAAAAATTTTTTTTAGATAGGGTCTCACTATGTTGCTCAGGCTGGTCTCAAGCAATCCTCTTGTCTGGCCTCTCAAAGTGCTGCATATTACGGTATGAGCCACCATGCCTAGTCTTGCTTGTGTTTTAAGCCAAGTGTTACTACAAAAGAGTCAAAAGCTAAAAAGAATTCAAAAGCTTAAGTAAAACAGTTACAGGAAGCTGGCTGGGCGCGGTGGCTCATGTCTGTAATCCCAGCACTTTGGGAGGCCGAGGTGGGTGGATCGCGAGTTAAGAGATAGAGACCATCCTGGCCAACATGGTGAAACCCTGTCTCTACTAAAAATACAAAAATTAGCCGGAGGTGGTGGCGTGTGCCTGTAATCCTAGCTACTCAGGAGGCTGAGGCAGGAGAATCGCTTGAACTCAAGAGGCAGAGGTTGCAGTGAGCCAAGAGTGCGCCACTATACTCTGGCCTGGCGACAGAGCGAGACTCCATCACACACACACACACACACAAAGTTACAGGAAGCTAAGGTTAATTTATTTTTGAAGAAAGAAAAATATTGTTTCAGAAATTTCACGTAGCCTAAGTGCACAGTGTTTCTAAAGTCCACCATAGTATACAGCAATGTCTTGGTCTTTCACATTCATTCACCACTCACTGACTCACCCACAGCAACTTCTGGTCCTGCCAGCTCCATTCATGGTAAGTGCCCTATACATGTGCACCATTTTAAGTCTTTGATGTGTATTTTTACCGTACCTTTTCTATGTTTAGATACACAAATACCATTGTGTTACAATTGTATAGGCCTACCATACAACTGCCTATACAGTTGTAGCACAATGGTATTTGTGTATTTAGGACAGTAACATGTTGAACAGGTTTGTAGACTAGAAGCAATAGGTAAGCCTAGGTGTGTACCATGTATTTGTGTAAGAACACTCTTTGATGTTCACACAAAAGCCCTAACAACACATTCTTCAGAATGTATCCCTTTGTAAAGTGACACATGTCTATATATCACTAGTTGGTCAAATACCTGAATCATGACACTCATTAGGGCTAGAAACTGAGTGGAAACAGGATGGGTTTCATTACCCTGGATAATGGCAATGACATCCCAAGGAAGGGGAGAGGGTGGTCTTTAAGAAAGAAATTATCAGTGTTATTAGTACATTAATAAATGCTTTTCTGAGTACAAAGCCAGTAGGCAGACAGTAGGGTAATGAAACAGTTGAAGATGTAAACACAACAAAGGAACACTTTGTTGTTCTCTAACTCCAGTAGGAAAAAACAAGTCTAATTAAACTCGGGAAATACAATTGCTTTAATAATGCCAGAATTCTGACTCTGCCCATCAATCTCCAGAGGTAGGAGAGATGACCCCATATAACTGGTGTTACCAAGGAGGAGGAATTTGATACTTAAAAACAATAAAAATTCATCTACCATTTTTCCTTTTTTTAAATAAAATATGTAATTTATTTTAAACTAATAAATCAAGTGTATTCCAGGGAGCAAAAGGGGTTCAGGTCACAAAATATTAAGGAAGTAATAGAAATCTTTTTCTTTTAATAAAGACAATAGAAGTATCCACTCAACAGGTATTTACTGGGTGCCTCCGGTGCGTACAAGGTGCTGTGAAAACCAGGCACTATGAAGCCACCAGTTAGGTTCAAGGCATGAAGCAACAGATTGATGTTGCTGACAAACCGACTTCAGTCGAAATTGTACTTCTCATGATCTTGAGCTGAGAAAAAAATGACTAAAAAGGAAAAGAGGAACCAGAAAGAGGGTGTTTCAAGGATCCTTTAAAGATAACCCTCTATTTTACACTACAGTTAAAAAGTTCAATTCCAAAATAGACAGAGCTCTCTAATCAACAAAGTCGTCTGGGAAAAAAAAAAATCTTTTTTAGCCAATCATTCTAAGCACTTCTTAACACTCACAGACAAGATCCGAGCGCCCTCCAAAAGGTATGACGCAGGGGTTTCTCAACGATACCTCCTGCTCTTTGGTAATTAATCTCGCTTTAGATCAGGCCCCAACTACCTCCTGGCGCCCATTAGATGCAAGGCCTGGGCTCAATGTTGTCGAACAAGCTTGTTCTGTAGGCAACGGCGACAGCATGGGAGGCAGAGGGCAATTTGTTTTATTTGATCCTTTTAAGTTCAGGCAAACGAGGCCTCCTGTGGGTGAAAGGCAGGGCTAAAGGGAGACAGTCGACTTGGGACAAACCCCAGATTCGGTCTGCTCATTTCCGACTGCACCTCCCCACACAGGACAATGATAAGAAAAAAAACTCCCCTAAAAGTCGTTTCCAACGAGGGTCCGCCAAAGGTCACCCTCCACTCGCTCAGGCCGGAGGACACTGAAGCTGCTGCGAAAAGGAACACAAGGAGCTCGGCCGCATCGGGGGCCTGACTCTGGAGTGCAGGGGGTGCCCCTGCCAGGTCCTCAGACCCGTCTGGGGGTCGTGCCCTTCCCCGCCAGCCCTCTCCTCACCGCGCGTTCCTCCCAACGCGGGCCTCGCGCACTTACCCCCGGTTAGGACCTTTAGGGATGAACCAAGGCACCAAGAAGCCGACGAAGCCCCAGAACACGCTCATCACAATGAGAGGCACCGTGAGGCCATGATACGCCATGGTCGCCGCCTGAGCGCCAGCCCCTACCCCGCCGCCTCACTCGGTCTCACCCGGAAGTGTCAACAGCGGACCGCGTGACCAGCGTGCGGAAGCCCCGCCTCCCGAGCCCCCTCGTGACCCGCGCGCCAGCCTCCATCCCTGCGGGAGCCGAGATGCAAAGCCCCGCCCTCGCCTGGCTGACTCCCGGCTGCAGCTCCTGAGAGGCACGTCTCTCACCCCAGAGCTAGGGGTTCGGTCACAAGGGGCTCAGCAAAGTGTTCTGATGAGAACTTGGCCCTTTTAGACAGAGTAGTTATTTACAGCCTCATCTACTTGTGCAACAGACATACAGAGAACTTAACAATAGTAACTTACTATTCTGAATTCCCTGTGCCTGGCACTGGGCCATGATGTTTAAGTGCATGAGCCACCGGGTGCGGTGGCTCACCCCTGTAATCCCAGCACTTTAGGAGGCTGAGGCGGGTGGATCACTTGAGGTCAGGAGATCAAGACCAGCCTGGCCAAAATGGCAAAACCCTGTCTCTACTAAAAATACAAAAATTAGCTGGGTGTGGTTGTGTCCGCCTGTGGTTGCAGCTACTCAGGAGGCTGAGGCAGGAGAATCGCTTGAGCCCGGGTGGCAGAGGTTGCAGTGAGCCAAGATCGCACCACTGCACTCCAGCCTGGGCAACAAAGCAAGATTCTTGTCTCAAAAAAAAAAAAAAAAAGTGCATGAGTGGGTGTTGAACTCCTCACTTCAGCCTATGAAATAATTATAATTATTATCCCCACTTTGCAGTTGAAGAAACTGAGGTCCAGGGAGGAGGCTAGGGATCTTGCCGAAAGTCACATAGTAAGTGGCAGGGTCAGGATTCAACCTCTGATGATCTGATTTTCAAGGCCAGAGCTATTAACTACTGCACCACTGTATATCTTGTGCACTGTGCCAGGTTCTGGAATTACAGAAGTCAGTCAGGCACCCCTGCGGGAGTTCACATTCTAGGGAACCGATGACCTTGCAAACAGGCCACTCAATGCAGGGTGAAAGTACGTGGATGACCAGACAAGGCTTTCCACCCAACTAGTCCTCAGCTGAGCCTTCAAAGACAAGTAGAAATTAGCCAGAATAGTAAGAAAAAAAACAACGAAAGGCATGGCGGCTCACCTGTAATCCCAGCACTTTGGGATGCCAAGGCGGGCAGATCACCTGAGGTCAGTAGTTGGAGACCAGCCTAGGCAACGTGGTGAAATCCCATCTCTATTAAAAATTCAAAAATTGGGCTGGGTGCGGTGGCTCACGCCTGTAATCCCAGCACATTGGGAGGCCAAGGCGGGCGGATCACGAGGTCAACAGATTGAGAGCATCCCGGCCAACATGGTGAAACCCCATCTCTACTAAAAATACAAAAAAAATTAGCCAGGCATGGTGGCACGCACCCGTGGTCGCAGCTACTCGGGAGGCTGAGGTGGAAAAATCGCTTGAACCCAGGAGGTGGAGGTTGCAGTGAGCTGAGATTGCACCACTGCACTCCAGCCTGGCGACAGAGCAAGACTCTGTCTCAAAAAAAAAAAAAAAAAAAAAAATTCAAAAGTTGGCCAGGTATGGTGGTATGCACCTGTAGTCCCAGCTACTTGGAGGCTGAGGAATGAGAATCCTTGAACCCCTGGGAGGTGGAGGTGGTAGTGAGCTGAGATTGCACCACTGCACTCCAGCCTGGGATACATAGTGAGACTCCACTTCAAAAAAAAAAAAAAGGTAAAAACGGTTTTTTTTGTTGTTGTTTTTTGAGCCAGGGCCTTGCTCTGTCACCCAGGCTGGAATTCAGTGGTTTTCCATAGCTCACTGCAGCCTGGAACTCCTGGGCTCAAGCCATCCTCCTGCCTCAGCCTCCTGAGGAGCTGGGGCTACAGGTGTGCGCCACCACATCTGGCTGATTTTTAAAGTTTTTTGTATAGACAGAGCCTCACTATGTTGCCAAGGCAACTCTTGGCCTGAAAGGATCCTCTACCTCAGCCTCCCAAAGTGCTGGGATTACTGGCATAAACCACCGTGCTCAGCTGATAAACAGAGCTTATAACACTTGCTGAGAATTTTCACATATATTAGTTATAGTATGTGCCAAGCTTGGAATAGACAGGGAAGCAGGTTCTCAGAGAGGTTGAGGAGCTTGATAAAGCCTACAAGTGAAAGCAATGTAGAAAGCAGGTCTATAAATGCAATGTGCTTTACCAGGGACCATGGCTCCCTTGCAGTAGCCACATTGCATTACCCCCTGATTACTTTCACCAAGTAGAATGGCTTTCTGTATTAAATGAGAAACTGGACCAATACTCTTCAACGTCTGTAACAACTTTTCAGACATGATTCTAATCTTCTAACCTGATCAGCAATGTAGGAAACTAACTGGTCTCCTTTGTGCTCACAGTGCTTCCCCAGAACTTAGCCCCAGCAGAAATCCTATGGTCCTTAAGTTCTAGTCCAAGCACTGCCTTCTCCAAGACCCATTTCCTCCTGCTAGCACGTCTCTTTGGGCCTGTTGTATATGTATCTTGACCAACCCTCTACTAGAGGGCCAACTCCTTGAGAATAGGCACTGTTCCACCGATCTTGGTTTCTGGAAGCACTTTCTACGTATAATGTGATCAGTAAGTACTTGTGCGACTGAATTGAGTAGTTAAGGATGAGATCAGTCAGAACAAAATTAGAGAAAGAAGTTTACTCCCACTTTCCTCTTCCTTTCTTTCTTCCTTCTTTTTTTTCTTCTTTCCTTTCTTTCTTTTCGTCTTGTTTTTGAGATGTAATCTTGCTCTGTCACCCAAGCTGGTGTGCAGTGGCACAATGCTGGCATACTGCAACCTCTACCTCCCATGTTCAAGCAATTCTCCTGCCTCAGCCTCCCGAGTAGCCGGGATTAGAGGCACACACCACCACAACAGGCTAATTTTTTATTTTTTGTTTTTAGAAGAGATGGGTTTCCACCATGTTGGTCAGGCTGGTCTCAAACTCCTGACCTCAAGTGATCCACCTGCCTCGGCCTCCCAAAGTGCTGGGATAATAGGCATGAGCCACTACACCAGACCGCTTTCTTTCTTCTTTTTTTTTTTTTTTTTGAGACAGAGTTTTGCTCTTGTTGCCCAATCTGTAGTGCAATGGCATGATCTCGGCTCACTGCAACCTCCGCCTCCTGGGTTCAAGCAATTCTCCTGCCTCAGCTTCCCGAGTAGCTGGGATTACAGGCATGTGCCACCATGTCCAGCTAATTTTGTATTTTTAGTAGAGATGGGGTTTTACCATGTTGGTCAGGCTGGTCTCTAATTCCTGACCTCAGGTGATCCGTCCGCCTCAGCCTCTCAGAGTGCTGGGATCACAGGCATGAGCCACAGCACCCGGCCACGCCAGGCCCCTTTCTTTCTTTCTTTCTTTCTTTTTTTTTTTTTTTTGAGACAGTTTCCTTCTGTCACCCAGGCTGGAGAATAGTGGTGCAATCATAGCTTACTACAGCCTTGAATTCCTGGGCTCAAGCGATCTTCCCATATCAGCCTCCAGAGTAGCTAAGGACTACAGGTGCATGCTCCCATGCCGGCCTGAGAGAGAGAGAGAGAGAGAGAGAGAGAGAGTGTGTGTGTGTGCGCGCGCGTGTGTGTGTGTTAGAGATGGGGTTTCACCATGTTTCCCAGGCTGGTCTCGAACTCCTGCCTCAAGGGACCCTCGTGTGTGTGTGTGTGTGTGTGTGCGTGCACGCACGTGTGTATGTGTAGAGATGGGGCGTCACCATTTTGCCCAGGCTGGTCTCAAACTCTTTCCTCAAGGGACCCTCCTAATTATGTGTGTATATGTGTGTGTAGAGGTGTAGAGATGGGGTTTCACCATGTTGCCCAGGCTGGTCTCAAACTCCTGCCTCAAGGGATCCTACTCCCTCAGCCTCCCAAAGTGCTGAGATTACACATATAACCTGCTGTGCCCAGGCCCTTTCCTTTTAATAATGGTAAAACATAGGTAACATAAAATTTACTATCTTAGCCTTTTTTTTTTTTTTGAGACGGAGTTTCACTCATGTTACCCAGGCTGGAGTGCAATGGCGCGATCTCGGCTCACCGCAACCTCCGCCTCCTGGATTCAGGCAATTCTCCTGCCTCAGCCTCCTGAGTAGCTGGGATTACAGGCACGCACCACCATGCCCAGCTAATTTTTTGTAGTTTAGTAGAGATGGGGTTTCACCATGTTGACCAGGATGGTCTCGATCTCTTGACCTCGTGATCCACCCGCCTCGGCCTCCCAAAGTGCTGGGATTACAGGCTTGAGCCACCGCGCCCGGCCTATCTTAGCCTTATTATTATTATTATTATTATTTTTGAGACAGGGTCTTGCTTTTATCAGGCTGAGTGCAGTGGTGTGATCTCAGCTCACTGCAACCCCCACCTCCTGGGTTCAAATGATTCTCCTGTCTCAGGCTCCCTAGTAGCTGGGACTACAGGCATGCACCACCACCAGCTAATTTTTGTAATTTTAGAGGAGACAGGGTTTCGCTATGTTGGCCAAGCTGTTCTCGAACTCCTGACCTCAGGTGATCCACCTGCCTCAGCCTCCCTAAGTTTAGGATTACGGGCGTGAACCACCACACCTGGCCTCTTAATGTTTTAAAAGCGTACATTAAGTGTATTCACATTGTTGTGTGACTGATCTTTAGAACTTTTTTTTTTTTTTTTAAGACAGGGTTTCACCATGTTGGCCAGGCTGATCTTGACTCCCGACCTCAGGTGATCTGCCCACCTTGGCCTCCAAAGTGCTTGGATTATAGGTGTGAGCCACCAGGCTTGGGCAATCTTTAGAACTTTTTTCTTCTTTCTTCCTTTCTTTAAAAATTTATTTTGAGACAGGTTCTTACTGCATCACCCAGGCTAGAGTGCAGTGGCATGATCATGGCTCACTGCGTTGACTTTCGAGGTTCAGGTGATCCTCCCACTTCAGCCTCCCAGTAGCTGGGACTATAGGCATGCACTAGCATGCCCTGCTAATTTTTTGTATTTTTTGTGGAGATGGGGTTAAGCCATGTTGCCTCAGCTGGTCTCAAACTCTTCAGCTCAAGTCATCTGCCCGACTAGGCCTCCCAAA